GGGCTGTGCTTGGGGCGGGGGGGGGGTGTCCTCAGGAAGTTCCTGATGGGACCCCGCTGGGCAGGGCCACCCGGCTCCCGAGCTGCTTTCCAGGGTCCCCTTGGGAAGAAAAGGGTCCGGTGGGCGGTGGAAGAAGGCGAGCGCCCTCCTCCCGCCCCCTGTCCCGTCCCGTCCCTCCTCTTGTCCCCTCCTCCCCTCCCCGCTTAAGAGAGAAAGATCTGCCTCCCCTGCACCGAGCTTCCACCCGGCGCCGCGTCTCCCGGCCAGCGCACGCTTGCGACTTGGGAACCGGCCAAGCGACTTTAAAACCGAGCGGAGGCCAGAGATAGCCGGAATTACCCTCCACACCACACACACACACACACACACACAGAGAGAGAGAGAGAGAGAGAGAGTTGGCAGCTGTCCATCCCCCACCCTTGGAGTCCCGATGGCACGCACGCGGGGGCTGTCACAAAGAAAGGAAGAGGAATTGAGTGCCAGCCTGAGAAAGGCGAAGCTGCCTCTCTAAAGCATTTTGGTGGCTTTGTAAGTTTGGGGGAAAGGGGTTGGGGGTGTCAATCAAGAATTATATCCAGAATACCCCAAGTGTTACAACTTACCGTATTTGCCGGCGTATGAGACGACTTTTTTGCCTTGAAAAGCATGCCTCCAAGTGGGGGGGTCGTCTTATACTGCGAGTATATAACAAAAACTATATTTTGAGTGGAAATGTTGGGGGCTCGTCTTATACGCCCAGTCGTCTTATACGCCGGCAAATACGGTATTTCAATGTTTGAAATGTTTGAGGGGAAAACATATTTTAAGCAGAAGCAAATTTACAGAAAACTGAGATCCACACAGCCTATGTTTTATATGTTTTTGCAAAATCATAAAGAAAAGAGCATAACTTTCCAAGTTTTATACCTGGAAGTTCATTTGATTAACAGATGGTAATATCATTAAAAATTATTTTGGGTTCATTATAACCATAACATTGGCGCTGCTGAACTTGTGTGGGAAGAATAATATATTGGAAGAATAATATATTGGAAGTATAAGCTAGCCGCAAATGGAATCAACATATCCAATGATTCTAATCTAGATTTTAGTTTCCTTAGAAGCTTTACTGAAACCATATTTCAGTCTCATCCACAGAATGGGAATAATTGTATATGAAATGAAGCTCATATTTTTTCAATGATGGGCTCACATGGAAGAAATCCAAATTTTAGGGTGCTATTTTTTCATGATTTCTTGTTGGTTACAACTGAAATCTGGAAGAATCTGTATCCAAATAACTCTCACTGATAAACAATCATGATTCAAATTGGATGAAAAGGTTTTGCCCCCAATAATTTTACTGAAGACTACATTAGACAGATAAAAGTAATAAAATTACATAATACAGAAAAACTACAAAAAACAAGATTCACACCCAATTTGAATCCTTCTTTTAATATTTAATATTTTTATCTCCATTTCTGTTTAAAGAGACCCTCCTTCATTTCTTCTTTTCAAATAAAGTCCAGTCTCAATTTTTTTAAAAAAACATCACTGCAACGACTAACTTATTATTTTAACCTTGATCAAATAAACTGATTTTGTAATATTTCTTCTTCTTTCTTCAAATTATCTCTAAATTCATTTTTTAAATGTTTGAAATAAACCTGGAAGTTGAAATACAAGAATTATCACACCACTCACATATAGAGGGTAAAAAATAACTGATAAGTCATAAAAATGAGGCATGAAACCTTGAGGAAGTATCCCAATGGGGAGTGGGAAGAGTCTTACGTTTTCTTTTAGTTTGAGGCAGAAACATGTGCTCAGAACATAAGAATCAGTTAATAGATGGAAAGTAGGAGGAAGCTGGCCGGTGGTGGGGTTCAAGTAAACCCATCACCGGTTTGCCAAAAATGTGAGTACATGCACATGTGCACACACACAGCTTCCGTGGCTTTCACATGGTGAGGCTTAATGGAGCAGCGTTTCGGGGCCTGCTCCCCTCCATCTCTGCTCTCCAGGGCGGGCAGTGGCTGCTTCTCTCTGCTTCTGCTCTTGCTGGAAGAGCAGACTGCAATTTAGCAGCTGTCAGCCGCTGCTTTGGGTCCTCTAAGTCCCATCCGGAAAGCGCTGTGGCTGATGCAATATGGCTGCTGCTTCTCTGTGCTGCAGCGCTTTCCGGATGGGACTTAGAGGACCCAAAGCGGCGGCTGACAGCTGCTAAATTGCAGTCTGCTCTCCCAGTAAGAGCAGCGGTGGAGAGAAGCAGCTGCCAACCTGGAGAACACATGGAGCATCTCCACGAGTGAAGCCTCAGAGGCAAGGAATGGAAGAAGCAGATGCAAGATCTCTGCTGCAGTGCTTTCTGGATGGATCTTTTTAAAGGTAAGAAGAACCATCCAGTCCATTCCTAAACCGCTTCAGCCCTCCTGTACCCCCCACCAGCCCTTCGGCCTAGTGCAGCAGGCCACAGGCCAAATAAATTGCTTTGGCCCATGAGGTTGTAGTTTGAGGCCAGAGTGGGGGCAGCAGCATGCAGGCGGAGGCTCGGGACAAGGCTGGAGACGGGGAAGAGTGTGTTCCCTGACCCGGCCAAGGAGAACAGCGAGTGGGCGGAGGCAAGGCTGGAACCAGGGAATGGTGTGTTTCCCGACCTGGCTGAGGAAACAGCGAGTGGGCAGTGGCATGCATTGCTTACCTTTGGTGAGTAGAGGTGGCGAGGTGCGAAGTCGAGGAAATTAGCTGGGCCAAGTGGCAAAGGCAAGATATATAGGGCGGGGTGAAGTGGGCGGGATGATGCAGGTTGGGCGGCGCCAGCCGTTGGTGCAATTAGTTCTATGAGAGCACGCTTCACATAGGCGCAGCACAGCACAGCACTGAAAGACTGGCCTTGGTGTCAGCGCTGGTGAGGTGAGCTGTTTTTTAGCTCAGCTGAGGCATGGCAATCCACTCTGCCATGTGAATAAGCTAAGCTAAAAAAACAAGGGAATTTAGCCTTATTTAGGGCGGGAAAGGGCAAGGGCGGTGGCAGGTGGGTGGGGCCAGGCAGAGGTAGTATTTGCTGGTTCTCCAAACTACTCAAAATTTCTGCTACTGGTACACCCAAACTGGTCTGAACCAGCTGAATATCATTTCTGAAGCTTGCATTTAGCAAGAACAATATGTTAATAAAGATCATGATGATAAATTGCAGAGGAAGCAGTGATGGGATTCAAATTTTTTTACTACTGGTTCTGTGAGTGTGGCTTGGTGGGTGTGGAAGGGGAAGGATACTGTAAATCTCCAGTCAGAAGGGGTATTTGCCAGTTCTCCGAACTACTCAAAATTTCCGCTACCGGTTCTCTAGAACTGGTCAGAACCTGCTGAATACCACCTCTGAGAGGAAGGATTATTCGAGTAGTTCTTAGAAAGCTACAAAGATATTATTGAGGAAGAAATCCCATTGCCAATTGTGTAAGATTAAATACAGGTAGGAATGGGACTGTACCTTTATGTGCATTTTGGATCACTCTTCTGAAAATGTTTTTCCATTGAAACCAAAGCAAATTGAAATCACAACATGCCCAACAGCATTCACATAAAGTAAATGAATCAATATAACCAAAGGGTTCAAATATTTGTACTCAACCAAGTCACTAGCATATTTCTAAATTATTCCTGTGGGAGTGAAGGTTTCAGGGAATGTGACATTTTTAAAGATGACATCACTGCTGAAATCCTGGCATCCTTTGACAGAACTATCTGAGCTGCTACCCACTATTGGAAATGCCAGAAGTCAGAGATACACAATTACTGTATATAAGCTGACCTTTTAACAAAGAACATAACAATTCAAATGCAGTGAATAAAAAATCAGCAGCATAATGCTACTGATCTGGAAAATTGACAAGGGCACAATGCAGTTTTGTACCCTTGCTACATTGATCTAGAGTTCCATTTTCTGAAGGAAAAAAAGAACTGTACTACTTCCAGTCTGTTCTACAGTGTATTAAAGTTAATAAGATTCTTTCCATTATCTGAATGGTGAAAGTGAAAGAAGATTTCAATAAAAATTTGCATCTTGAATAGGGCTGCTTTATTCTATTTCAATGACTGATAATAAAGACAAATGGTGGATTATTGCCAGTTATACAAGGAAGTTTATACACACACTGTCTGCACTGCTTCTAACAGGATTTTTTAAAAGCTAGAGATTCCACTAAGCACTTATTGTTAATATGCATCCAGTATATTTCTCTAGTTTTGACTTAATGGAAATGAAATCCACTAGATTTGAATGTGGGCATGTATGATCTGAATTGTAGACATGTATTAATATGTTCTTAATGTCAATATTATAACATGTCATACTTGGTGTTTGTTAACAGGATGTTAAAATTTTAGAAAAATAATGAATCAACCAGCCAAACTTTGACACCATTATTTTTACATTGTAACTACTTCTACAGATGGGAATTACTAAAGCAAATTTGATAGAAAAGGCAAAGGCAAATCAACAACACTCCCTTTCTCTGATAGTAATGGATTTCACTAGTATTCCTTCTCACCTATAATCAGGCGTCACCTTTTCCAACTTTTAAATATTTTCATAAAACATGCAGCTCACTTTATCAGATACACAACCTTTTAATAAAATGTGTAGTGGGGAAAGATTTCTAACACAACAGACTAACACAAACCTGACAAATTCTACCCTAAAGAACAATTGATATTTGTTCATTTAGCAATAGCACTTAGACTTATATACTGATTCATAGTGCTTTTACAGCCCTCTCTAAGTAGTTTACAGAGTCAGCATATTGCCCCCAACAATCTGGGTCCTCATTTTACTGACCTCAGAAGGATAGAATCTGAGTCAACCTTGAGCTAGTCAAAATCAAATTTCTGGCATTGAGCAGAGTTAGCCTGCAATACTGCATTCTAACTTCTGTGCCACCATAGCTCTTTACAATTGCCCTGAATACAAAGTAAATGAGAGCAGAAAATAAGAGCAAAAGGAACAGTAAAATGTTTACCTCCAAGAATGTGGTTCAAAACCAGCACACTTTTCTCTGCATTTCAAACAAGGCACTCCTCTTCCTGATGGTTGATGGGTAATTGACACCTAAAGAGAAGAATATTTTTTAAATCTATTTTTATTCACTTATACTAGGCTTAATTAGTATACATTATGACTAGTGTGCACAATATTAAAAACATGAGAAAAAGCAGCTGTAATTTGTCCAGCGAAAAGCAAGTTTAACTAAATATAATTAATCAGAGGTATACAAAGTGTTGCTATTTGGCCATACACATCCTTTAATCTTATTTCAAAATTCTCTGTAAATGATGAATTCAAGTCTCTTGTAAAGACTATATTCTCCTTCCATGAAATTTTCTAGGTCAACTGGACAACACATTTTGCTGCTTAATGTCAACTTGAGCACCATTTTATCTTTGCAGTTTTCGATTCCTTAACCATGGTAGATAGCATGTCTATACTTAAGCATAATGTGAGAACCCAAGGGGATATCATTGTTGGTGAATATGAACTATGATCTGGCAGTATGATTTATTTAAAATTCCATTTACTGTTAGCTAGAAATGGAGATTGTTGTGGATTTGCATACTCTGCTTATCCGTAAAATCACCAAATGTGATTAAAGAGAGACAAGTTCATATAGGTTTACTCTTAATAATTTCCATCACCTTTTCCAAATAGAACTTTCACTGTAAGATATTCAGTAAGCTCGTTCAAGGAAACTTTCCAATTCTTCAGGAAGAAAGTGCCTTTCTTAATAGGCCATATATATACACACAGAAGGATTTATTAAAATGCAACAAAAACACATAGAAGGATTTATTAAAATGCAGCAAAAACTAAACAGTTGCTTTGGGTAAAGAGTAGAAATATTTTAGGGTTGCTGGGTTTATATTATCTTGTATCTGAAACCCAAAACCAACAAGTTCCAGGTGCAAGAGTCATCCTATATCTTTATAGTTAAAGTACGGAATGGCTTTGAAAAAAATTCAGGCTTAGAGATGTTGTTGTACTAGTAACTGAATGAATTCCCTCCCTATCATTTACTTGTGTATATGCCCAAAAGATTATATTATATTATATTATATTATATTATATTATATTATATTATAT